AAGCTGGTGATTCCTTGCAATGGGAGTACTGTGCTACTGTGGGTGATTGTGAACTGAGACATTGTCTCTTTCAGGTGGAGGTAAAAGGAAGTGCAATTGCTGTCCTTCCCGAGATCCAGAAAGAAAAAGAATTGCTAGTGAATGCAACACCACCATCTGTACCTCTGCTACAAAGTTCACATGAGCTACCAGACTGTGTCAGACCTGCCAGGAAGAGGCAGCTTCCAGACAGTAAGTGTAACTCCGGTATCCCTCCCTAGGCAAATCAGGAGTTGATTATGCAGATATGGCTGGGAGGATGAGACCTTACCAGGTGTGCATGCCCTGTGTATGAGCATGCATACTTCCCTGTCACCCATTTTTTGCAATCAGCAAAATGGATTGTCTCATATGCTGCCATAGTGTCAGTTTTAATGCCTTTTTTTTGTTTTTAACAAAAATGTGGCAGCAAGGCCCTAAGCTTGTATGTTTAAGTCTGCTCGTAACCTTATAAATGCATATGGAAGTATCACATTGTTTTTTGAGGGTTAAGAGTGAGTCTGGACATCATGTGGGTCTATAGAAGACCTGAACAGGAGGGGGCAATGCACAGTCCTAAGACATGTTCCCCTTGAGGCTGCAGAACCCTGATTCTCACACTTTATTTCTTCTCTTCTTTCAGACCCTGCTATTCTGTACACTGTGGTGGATCATGTACCACCATCTCGGTGGAAAGAGTTTGTGAGGCGTCTGGGTCTGACTGACTATGATCTGGAGCGAATTGAGATGGAGCATCGACGTTTACGAGATGCCCAGTATGAAATGCTCAGACTCTGGAAACTGCAGATGGGCCATGCTGCTACTGTGGAGCACATCAACTGCGTTCTCAACCAAATGGAGCTGAGTGGCTGCAGTGAAGCTATTCAAGAGGCTTTGTTAAACCAGAACTCTCATCAACCTTGCAGTTTCCACAGTGATCTTTGATCTTTCCCCTTGCTCTGACTTCTGAGAGAGGATCATAACTCCGTTTCTTGTCTTTCTTTTTCCATTCCCTCCTATCTTTCTATCCCTCCTTAAATGGGTTGTTGGAAACAGCAGCAGCATATGCTGGACGTTTGCTTTGCAACCACCATGTTAGTTCAACTCCTTTTAAGCCAAAAGACACCTCTGCAACGACTCCTTTCCCAAAGAGGGAAAGCACCTCGTAAAGGAAGTGATACGTGGATTCTGATCAAGATGAAAACAGGAGCTCAGAGTGACGTGATACCTCAGCTACTCTGCAGACAAGTTGTTGCTAAAGCAGGTGCTTCACTCACCACGTGATAGGCTAACTGGCTGTTCAAATGCTAAAATATTTACTCACTTTTTGCAGATCTATTTTTCTGCAATATCAGATAATTAAACTGGCTCACATTGCAGCCATTTGATTGTGAAATCTGACTCAAGGGAAGTTGTGAGAGGACATGCCTGCAACTGGCACATTACTTCTGGGAGCAGGAGGGGATTGCTCCCTTTTGGTATCAGCTACAAAGTGCTGCACCTTCAGCCTTCTTACTATGGCAGACATTGCAGACATTTAGAAGGGGTGGCTCAGAGAAACAGGAGGGCATTATCCTTTTCACGCTCCCATTTCCCTCTGGTTCAAGAGGAATAAGGATTCTGAGCCAGCGGGTCAGATGAAGGGGTTGGTGCTTTTTCTAAAGATTCTTTTGTGTGTAAAAACCATGTGAAACAGCATTAACAAAATGTGTGTATGTGTGTTCTAGTGCTGAGTGGAAAAGAATGCACGTGTCTGTGTGGGTGAGGAGGTACCTTTGTACCTGGCAGTGAGTGTCCCTGAATACCTGTGCTTGCACACAGGTTGGTAGGCTTGTGTCTGCTTGCCTGTCTCTCCCTGAATGATTCACTGAATCTGACCTAGCTGCAAATGGGACTGTGTATATGTACATATATATGAGACATTTTTTAGCAGCTGTTGGATAACTTCACACTACTTTCCTTTCTGGACTCCATTATGTAAGTGCTACTTGGGTATAAGAGACGTCTAATTCCATCTGCAAGCTCTCACCATCGTTTTCTCATGGCTGTTACCCTGAGTGAAGCAGAAGTAGCAAAAAGCAATTAGCCTGCATCAGGTGCAGGTCCACATATTTGTGAATGTGGATTTTTAAAAATCTGTTGTCTCTTGACTAGAGAGAACCTTTCTACTGTAAATACACTAAGTGCTCCAAATTAAAATTCATATTTTTAACTCTGCCTCCATTCTTCTTTTGTCCATATCAGCTTCACTTCTCTGGCTGTGGGTGGGGGCAGAAAGTGGAGAATGACTTCCAGAAGCAGAAAGGGTGGGTTGTACATGAGCTGGGATGTTGCTCTGGTGAAAAAGGTTTGTGTTTAAAAAAATTAAAAATAAATAAAAAAAAAATTAGTCTTTTCTGTGTGAAGCTTAGCAGCTTAGGTGCCCTTAAGACACAGACAGCTGTGAGGGCAGGAACTAGGAATGAAAGCAAGTCATTTCAGACATTTGAGAGTCAACTGGGATACCTACATAAAATTCATTTTGAAACAATGTGCAAGCATTTGGAGGTTTAACAATGAAAAAATTATAAAAGAATACTAATAGATTATACTTCAGTGTTACTCTTGCTGAGGCAAGTATTTATCCAAGTTATCCAAGGAACCAAAACACTATAATCAGACAGTAAGTTCCTCCTGTATTGATGGGAAAACTTGTGTAGAAATGAAATGTGCCCAAGCTGTTGAGAACACAGCTGGTAGCTGAAGCCTGCTTTAAGTCCCATTTTCAGCCTTTGTTTTGCCACTTTTTAAAATCAAAGCTCATCATAAAATCCTTGTTACGTTTCTTTCGAAATCTGTGTTCAACAAACAGCAGTATGATAATAACTAGAAGGGTGTACTCTTCATGTTATGGGTGAAACAGGGAAACCAGGTATGCCAATGGCAAGCTGCTGCCAGGCCGTTGGGGGCTGCAGGCCCAAACTGATTATACAGAAAGCAATTCACAGTGTTGAGAGGCTTCAGAGGATTTTAAAGATACCTTCAGAGTAACTAAGCCATTTTGGCACATTGTGGGTATAGTTCTGAGAAGCGAACGATAGAAATCAATGCATTGAAACTGAATGGCAAAGTTTTTCTACCATTAAGTCAGGCATTCTTTATTAGCAGCATCAGGAAGCACTGGGGTATTTGCACCATAAGCCCTTCCAAGATGATGTGATTCTGAGTCCATTATATTTCCACTGGTAGTACATATTCGTCAATTATCTGTGAGATAATTAACACATACATGCCTATCTCAGGTAGTGATTAATGAGGTTTCCAGTCTTCTAGGGCAACAAGGCTTGTGAAGGGCTTGGAGAATGTGCCCTATGAAGAGAGACTGAAGGAACTGGGGCTGTTCAGTCTGGGGAAAAGGAAGCTAAGGAGAAACACTATTGCTCTCTTCAAATACCTGAAAGGTGATTGCAGAAAGAGCAGGGCTGGTCTCTTCTCACTGGTGGCAGTGACAGGACGAGGGGAAATGGCCTCAAGTTGCACCAGAGGAAGTTTAGGTTGGATATCAGGAAAAACTCCTTTACAGAAAGGGTTGTTAAGCACTGGAATAGGCTCCATAGTGAGGTGGTTGAGTCACCATCCCTGGATGTGTTTGAAAACCATTTGGATGTGGTGCTCAGGGACATGATTTAGTGGAGGGTTGTTAGAGTTAGGGTGGTATGGTTAGGCTGTGGTTGGATTTGGTGATCTTGAAGGTCTTTTCCAACCTGCGCGATTCTGTGATTCTACGTGTTGGAAATATCCAAATAATTTTCCAGGCTGGTATCTGTGATAAAGCAGATTTTATTTGCAATTGCAATGGCGGGCCTCCTGCAAACAGGAGCGCACACAGAAAACAGTGTTGCATCTTTTATCCCCTATTGCCTGAGGCTTATCTCTTTCTCCCCTGGTTCCTCATTGGCTGGGTGTTGCAGGTTCACACTCTTTTGCAATGCTTCACTAATCATACAAATACCAAGTAAACACAAATCCTTGCCACCCAAACTCAAATATTTTAATTGGTTAATTGCCTTCTAACAATTGCTTTCTTAAACATCTGGTCATAACTTTCAGATGCCTGCTTTACAACATAAATGTAACCTCTTAATTGTTTAATTAACCCCTAGCATTTGTGCCCTTTACACTGGCTCATTGTCCTGGTCATCCGTCTGTCCTTGTATAGAGATAAGCTTGGAAGGAGGACAGAGGGGAGTATCTTGGAGCCTGCCTATGGCATCCTAACATTCCCACGGAGTGGGACAATTCTGCTTTGTGGAAAGGCCCTGACTCCTTGAAAGCTTGTTAAATGTATTTCACTTCTGCTGGCCTAACGAACAACCTTACAGTATGTTTCCTAGTTCAGAATACTGTGCCCACATTGTTCAGAGCATTTGAAGTCTACTGCAGCTTTGTGAGAAAGAGTTTGTCGAGTAATTTGGTAACTATGTTTCTAAAATATGTTATTAATATGTATATGGTATTTCTACTTTTCACATCAGCTATTTCTAAGGATATGCTATAGCTTACTTCTTTAGATCAATTGCCCTTTTCAATATACAATGCAGAAACATCTTCACTTTCCACACTGTGATTCTATTCCATGGTCTCTTCTACCGTCTAGCGTCCTTTCAGCATCATGACAGTCCAGCAGACAGCCTTTTGCTTCAGCCAATGGTCTTCCTCGCCTGCCCTCCGGATGAGCTTTCATTGCTGCGCGCTCAGTAGAACGCCTATTAGAAGTAATTTATAGTAAATACTTCTTCCAATCAGAAGCAACTCCGATCTTGGACGGCCACCTTCAGGAAAATGGGATTTTTGCATGTTTGTGTGCACATTATTAAAAAAAAAAAACAAAAAAAAAGCCACCGTTATCCATCGAGCGTATCAAACCTCCAGGTTTTCCAACCCACCGCTCCGTCCCCTCGCAGCTCCCCCCGCCCTCCGCCTTTGGTACGTCCCGGCGGCCCGCGGTGCGTGCCGGGAGGCTCTGCGGTGGGGCCGCTGGGTGCGGGCGGCGGGCTGCTCCCGCCATGGCGCTCAACAAGTCGATGCACGCGCGCAACCGCTACAAGGACAAGCCGCCCGACTTCGCCTACCTGGCCGGCAAGTACCCCGAGTTCCGGCAGCACGTACAGACCACCCTGGCCGGCAGGGTGAGGTAGGCGGCCGCGGGGAGCGGGTTTCCGAGCTGCGCGCGTGTCGGGCCCCAACGCGACGCCTGTTTGTGTTTTCAGCCTGAACTTCAAGGACCCCGAGGCGGTGAGAGCTCTGACGTGTACCCTTCTGAAGGAGGATTTTGGACTCACCATTGACATCCCTCTGGAAAGGCTCATTCCGACCGTCCCCTTGAGGCTGAACTACATCCACTGGGTGGAGGATCTCATTGGCCATCAGGATGCTGACAAGCGAGTGCTTAGGCGGGGCATTGACATAGGTATTTACTGCGAGCTGTTTGTAAGGCGAACTGTTTAATTAGTCCGTTATTTACGGCTAATGAAGTGTTTCTGAGAAAGCAAATGTGTGGGAAGTCGGTTGTATTTTTTTTTTCTCTGTCTTCTAACTGATGAGTTATGTTAGCATTTTAGACACACACATTAGAGCTTATGAATTGCGTTGTAATTCTTTCTAGGGTTCCTTCAATAAGGTATTTTTTCTGTGTGTTGTGGTTTAACCCAGCAAGCAGCTGAATGCCATTCAGCACTTTGCTCACTCCCCCCCTGCAGTGGGATGGGGAGGAGAGTTGGGGAAAAAATGGCAGAACTCCTAGGCTGAGATAAAGACGGTTCACTGGGCCAGAAAAGGAAGATAGAACAGTAATTCTGATGATAATTGTTTTTATATATATACACACACACACGCACACACACACACAGTGCAGTTGCTTACTACTCAACAACCAATGCCCTGCCAGCCCCCAGCAGTGACAGACCCTCCTTTCCCCCCTTCCATTTGCCTGCTCCCCTCAGTTTTATAATTTATCTTCACATGAAGTCATACAGTATGGAATATCCCTTTGGCCAGGTTAGGTGAGCTCTCCTGGTTCTGTTCCCTCCCAGCTCCTTGTGCCTCCAACCTCCTTGCAGACAGGACAGTATGAGAAGCTGAGAAACTGAAACATCCTTGGCTCTGTACAGCACTGCTCAGCAACAACTGAAACATCAGCGTGTTATCAAAACTTAATCAAATCAATCCTTAAGCCAAAGCACAGCATCATAGCAGACACTAGAAGGATATTCTGTCCCACCTGAAATTCTGTGGTTTCAGGTGTGTGTGACAGATGATTGGTCTGTGTTTAAAACAAAACAAAACAAAAAACCACAACAAAAACCTTGAATTATTATTTTCTTAGTTCTTTCATGATTTAAGTTTTAAAAGAGGCTTAGTTAGGAGCCAAGGAAGCTACTAGCATAGGCATCTTTTGATTGAAAAAGATTTTCTGTAGAAAACAAGATATAGTTTAAATTGGACTGAACATGATACCAGCCAGTGCATGTATCTGAGAGCTTTGCTTGTCTTTATTATGAAAATGCTGCAGTTACTGACTTCCTCAAAGTTTGGGTTCAGTAATCTCAGTTACTATGCAAATATTTGTCATGAATGTTTTCTAGCTTATTGTTATTTGTTGGTGTGATTTTTCAGTTCTTGCATTCTTGGCTTGGTTTCAAGTAGGCTGTGAAGATTTGTATCATCATGTGGCATGTGCACAGCTACTTTCATAACTTTAAAACTTGATAGCTGACTTCAACACAGTTGTCATTAGATAGTACTTTCAAAAACATTTCCCATGGACCTCTGGATATAAGTGTGCATGCTTTTTCTTGCTTACTGTTGTGGTTTTTTTATGTTTCAATAAATCCGTATAATAGTAGATGCCTGATAAATCTCTGATCTCTGGTTGTTAAAGTTTTTAGTAATTGGATCACCTGGATGTGCCATACGTTTTAAAAATAATCCTTTTGTGCTGCAGTGTATTTCAGTTCATTACCAAGTTTTTATCTGGTTACCTTTGTAGAGATCTTAACTGGCACCCCTGCTGTTCTTTTTTATTTTTTTTTTTTCTTTTTGTCAATAGGAAAAAAGTCTGTGATATCAGATTTCCTTTTTGTGTGTGAGTGGTTGCTGCGTGCATCAAAGTAAAATTACTCGTGATACTTGAAAGAAGATAGAAAAGTACAGAAAAAGATACATTTTGGCATTTTTTCTTAGTAAAACAGGATACGTTTGGCTTTCTCTGTATAAATTATTGCAAAAGTGGGAAAATTGCTGAAGAAAAGAAGTTGATAATCTGCTAGAAAACGTATTCTAGGGAGGATTGCAGCGTTCTCTGTTCATAATGCATCTTTCACAATACTGTGTTTTAAATTACTTCTTAAATTTATTCACTAAAGAACTGAGTAATGGGTGATTGGTGAGCAGTGCTTTCTTGAAATTAATTCTTTTTGTTACTTAACGTGCATGATTGCTGTGTATAATGCTAGAGACTTATTTTGCTTTCTTCGTATGTTTTTTACATCTGCAGGGACAGGGGCGTCGTGCATATACCCATTACTTGGATCAACGTTGAATGGCTGGTATTTTCTTGCAACAGAAGTGGATGACATGTGCTTCAATTATGCCAAGAAGAATGTGGAACAGAATAACTTGTCTGATCTTATAAAAGGTATGATTTAATAGGCTATTTAGTGGCAAACGAATGTTGTGGCCTATTTTTTTTGTCATGTTCAAGTGGCATATCAGAACCAATATTCCTGCCAATATGTGCTCTGTCATTTTTACTGGCACAGTGTTTGCTAAGGTCCACATATGCTTAAAACGAAAAGTCACAGCTTGTTCAAAATGGCAAGTGTGGAAAAAGAGCTATTCATCTTTACAGAAATCTATAAGTTAAACTAAATCCTAGGGAGCTTTTCTCTCTCCATGTTTCCTTCTGTTACTGAAGCATTTCTTAGAGTCCGTGCTGTTTCGGCTACTAGGAGACATGGAGTATTCCCCTCAAATAATTTACATGACACTAATACATATACTTTGTACAGAGTCAATCCTTATTCTTCATTTCTGAGTTAAATCTTAGCAGTGCTTAACAGTGTGGTAGTAGAAGAGTGCTAGACTCTATCTATGGAAGAGCTTGGAAAGATACCAATGAGGGTTTTATACACTGTAAAGCTGGTCCATTATTCATCTCTGAAATAAAAATTCTGGTTCTGCAAGATTTTGGGAGTATTCTTTCTACCGGAATGTTTTCCTCTTGGCCTGTCCCTGTCAGTGTTGAAGACCCAGATCTTGATGTGGGGAACAATGATGGTATTTAACCACTGCCATCGTAGGATTCTTAGTGGTGTGGTGGTGTTACACTTCACAGGAAATAGCTCTAGCATAGGAAAATGTCTTAGTTGTAGCTGTAATGCCAACAGTGATAGTCTGAGGTAAATAATTGACTGCTGTTGAGCAGAGCAACAGGGCAGGGAGTGCCACTAAGGGTACATGTAGCTGGCAGCTTCCTGTAATTGATCTACCCTGTGACTTCTTAATTCCTGGGTCTGAAGTGTTTAGCTAGAGCTGATTATGCTGCTGTAATCAGTAACTAATTTAGCAACGTGTGTTTTGGAGTCAGGTTGAAAATGGTTCAGCATCTGTTCCTTTTTTCCTCCAAATGATTTTTGTCATGTTTCAAAAGACTGCCTTGAAATTTTTGCTGGGTAGCTTTATCCGGAGGTTATTTTACAATATAATCTTTATTCTTCAAACTTCAATGAAAAGGTTAATTAAAAAAGATAGTAGAAACATTAAAAAGAAAAAAAAAAAGGATTTTTTTGGTCTGAAAGTGAAATACTGTTGTCCATAACTTTCTTCCAAAAGAATTTTTTCTGTATGTACAAACCTGAAGATTGATTGTAAGTAGTAGAAAAAAGTTACCTGATGTTCTGAGTTGCAGATACATTTTATTGGAATAGGATGATTGCCAAAATCTGTTTTTCTTGCCCTTTTTTTTTAATCGGCGCCCCATATGTAATGATAGGGCAAGCTACTTTCATAAATTTGAAATATGAAAGCTTTTACATTTGTAGCTGCAGCAGAGAACTTAGTGCAACTCATGCAGTTAATTGTTGATTTAGACACTCACGTCTTCTACTATATGTGTACCCATAAGCTGTTTATATGCTACTCCTTAGCCTAAAGTCTTTATTTGCATGCTGATGTTATGCTTTTTTTGTAAAGTATATTGCTAAGAAAGTGCAGTTTTTATCCAGTATATTGCTTCAAGAAATGCAGAAATAAAAATGACACATTTGATGAAATATAGCACTCCTTACTGACTAAATCCTTCTTTGCTATTAGTGGTTAAGGTACCACAGAAGACTCTTCTAATGGATGCGCTGAAAGAAGAATCTGAGATAATTTACGATTTCTGCATGTGCAACCCTCCTTTTTTTGCCAACCAATTGGAAGCGAAGGTAAGTTAGCAAACTACAAGTTGTGAGTGAGTTCTTACTCCTGTGTTCACTGAGTGGGAGGGTAGGGTACCCTCTATCACTTTAAACCTCTTCTCATTGGGAAAGTTCTATGGAAAATCCCAAATTGTTACAAAATAGCATTGAAGTATTTTCTTTCTGTGCCCCTGTGCCCCAAAAGAAATATTGAAGAACTGGAAACTGCTATCCTATCTCAAGTGGATTTTTTTCACAAGATTTTGTTGTCTTTGAGAATTGGTTTAGAAAGTAGACTGCTACTAAGTCTAAAATTCAGTGCCCACTACATAGGCTTATTTGTAACGTATTTTTGTCTGTTACCCATGGTGGCAATGTGGGGAGGATAGAGGCGGTGACTTTTGGTACTGACTGAAAATTGAGTTAGGATATAGTTTGAAAGTAATCCTTTTAAAAAATGTTTAACAATTTTAATTAATCTCAAATAATGTTTCTTATCCAGGGAGTAAATTCTCGAAACCCACGGCGCCCTCCTCCAAGTTCTGTAAATACAGGAGGGATCACTGAAATCATGGCCGAGGGGGGAGAGCTGGAGTTTGTCAAGAGAATTATTCATGATAGCTTACAACTGAAAAAGAGGTTACGGTAAGTGCCTTCTTCTGGTTAAATGTTGACTTGCTTCTTTGTCTGAAGTAATGTGAAAGTGGTGTTTTAGTAAAGAATGTAACTGTGGTCCTGTTTAGTTCACTTACTTAGCCTCAGTTTATATCAAATTAATTGTTTCTGACATCAAATGATTGCAAGTCATTAGAGAAGATGTTTGAAGGCAGAAAGCAAAAAAGCCCTTACCAGTGGCACTCATAGCTTGCATCTGAATTAGCACATGTACCTGCTAAAGGTGGTCACCATTTATTGTTAGGTTCATCTGGGATAGGAGGATGTATGTCAACTCCTAGTAATCTCTTCATCACCTGGAAGCTCTTCTCTTTTCCTGGTTGAATTTTGATATCTTACAGATTTATTTACTAATGGGCACTGTTGTACTGAATGCTAGCTGATGTGAATATAAGCTGAAATGATAATTGTAGTGAGATCTTCTACTGAACAAGAAAAAATAGCATGTCTTCAGTTTTTCAGACAACCCTTCCCACCAAGCAGTGTTGTTCTGTATGTTATTCCTCTAGCTCTGATGGGAGCTTCCTTCAGATTTTTTAATATACTTCTAAAATACAGCTGCCACAATTTTTGTGTTACTACCAGAGCTTCGTCAGTGTTCCAAGCAAAGGAAATTCAGCCTTCTGTCTGTATATTCAAGGTGTGCTTCTTGAGACTCTTCTGGGGCACTGCATTATGATCTCATCCATCTGATGCCAGTTCTTTTATTTAGAATGTATGTTTTCTACTGATGAATCTGTGGGAAAAAAAAAATATATATAAAGAATATGTTCATTTTTTGGAAAAGTAGGACAAAGTGAAACAGGACTCTATTAGAAGTGCTTGTGTCTTGTAGTTCTTTCAAGGAAAAAAAAAATGGAGGTTTCAGTTTTGTAAACCTGGGAGAACTTGATACAGAAATAACAGCTTGCTTAAAATACTCTTTCGTGTTTTGTTAGAAACAAGGTTTGGCAACAGTACCAAAGGGCATGAGTTGTGAACTGTTAATAGAGAGGACTGAGACTCCTTTTGGCCAGGAGGCTTTATTGACTTATTCCACCTCCTCGTCCCTTCTTCTTCAACTAGAAGTTGAAGATTTAGTATTTAGCAGTTTTGTGGAAGAAGTGTGTTTTATTTTTGCCAGGAATATTGGGATTTTATGTAAGTATTACTATGTGAAATTCTTTATATTGTACTGTGTGGAAAATCAACTTAACTGCAGTATTAAGGAACAGTTATTTAAGAGAGGATAACAAGACTTGAGAAGTAAGTTAAATGAAGAACAGAAGTGTATTGCTTGGAGATACTGAAGATGAGAAGCTAAGTGAAAGGATTAGCTCCAGCTAAACAAATTTCTTTTTTTGAAGGTGGGAGAGTGTTTTATTTCTCATATGGTAATAGGAACCTGGATAATCAGTTATGAATGAGCAGAATTGGCAATCAGTAGGTCAGCCTCTTAAGCACATATGCTTGTCAGTAACTGAATATTTCTTCTTACCCTGATTGTGCTCCAAGGAAAGTTATAGATTATTGTAAGGAATGATATCTTACATGTAATTAAGGTCACTTTTTGAGACATGATTCCTGCTTGTTCAGATGCTGTTTCAATATTAATATCATCATATTTTCTGAGAACACATTCTCCTCTCTAGTCTGTCTTTGCTCTTTTCCTGTTTCATGTTGTACTGTCATAGTACTCTATTTAATATATATTGTTCATGCAGATTTCTGATCCAGATAGTTCTTTTTGTTAGATTCCCTTTTCCCTTGATCTGTGTTTGTAAAAACTCTTCGTTGTTTATTGTCTGCAGATGGTACAGTTGTATGCTGGGGAAGAAATGCAGTTTAGCACCATTGAAAGAGGAACTTAAAATCCAGGGGGTAAGTTCAACATATCCTGTGTATGTTGAATTTATTATGAACTTTTACACACTTTCTTCCCTGTGCTGTACTGTCAGCACCTCATTAAAATGAGAGAAATCCTTGTGAGCTTCGTACAGAAGAGCTGAGGTTTCCTTTTGTATTCTTGGGACTATGAATTCCATTTTGATTAGTTTCATAATCACTATTATAGTAGATCTGGAGTTACATTTGTTTTAACCAAGCTGTGTGATGGTTCAGATTAGAATATGGCATTCATGTTTCAAAAAATTCAATTTATTATTGGAATTTTGATAGATTAAGGAATTCAAAGGTAGGAAAAACTAGAATAGAGATTTTCCTCTGTCTATCTGTCTCCATGTCTCATTTCTGTCTCCCTCCCTCTCCCTCTCTTTCTCTCTCTCTTGTACATGTGTGCTCTGTTTTAGGCAGTACTCAAAAGTTACATTTTTCTATTTGTTTGGTTTTTGCTGTATAGAGCTGGGGCTTATGCTCTGGAGCTGGTAACAGTTCAGAGTGAACTGGGATGGTTGGTAGTTATCCTGGACTGTATATAGCACATCCTTAATACCATACATAAATACTGTACAACGTTCATGACATCCATGTATGGAAGGACTATATAATGCTAACATTGGGTCTGAATTTTATGTTTAAGGGCAATTTTTTTTTTTTTTTTTTTAAACAAAGATACAGACATGCCCAGAAAAATGGCCCTGCTTACTTTCCCAGTGATACACTGCCTTTGTTCTATGTCCCTTTTATTCAACATTCAAATGTGGAACAGGAGCAGGTTCCGAACAGGGAAAAAGAATGTGCTTTTTACAGAGACAGAATGCACCTAAAGGGTAGTGTTGTATGTCTCTGAACTTAAACTTGGAGTCCTCAGATTGCACAGATGTGGTAGATAGAGATGGGAAATTTCAGTCAACGTTACCAGCCTTGGCACCTAACAGCTTCATGTGTCACTAACAACTATGAGCTGTGTCAGAAGGAATTTCCATTCCTGCCTTGAGGAACTGTGCTAACTCTTGTTGCTTAAGAATGTGTGGAGTACAACAGTGTTATTTATTAATACAAACGAAAATTTTATATTGCTACTTCACATAGGTTCCTAAAGTTACTCACACAGAATTCTGTCAAGGACGTACTATGAGATGGGCACTGGCATGGAGTTTCTATGACGATGTGCAAGTACCTGTAAGTACCTTAGTTTTGTCTTGCTTTTCTATGTCTGTGCTTCTTATTTGAGGAAGAGCCTAATGAGATGTAAGTACAACAGCTGTGAAAGGAGCTGCTCTCCATCAGAAAGGAATATTGATGGAGTAAGCTGTGTGGACAGTGGGTTTTGTTAATTGGCTTCCAGTCAGTTAGCAGTTGTTACATGTGATCCATTATGACCTGTGTATCGGGAGGGAAAAAGAAACCTGCAGGGATTTCCTGTGAGTTTCAGTGGAGGTATGGGTCACTTGTAACTCCAGAAAGCATATGTAGATATTACAAATTTGGGCTAGATTTAAACTTAAAATTTTCTCCTGAGAACTTGATTTTAATTTTCATGTGGATTCTTGTTACCAAATAAATATGAATATGTTTTAGCTGCTTTAGACCTGAATATTTCATAGAATCATAGAATGGCTTGGGTTGGAAGGGACCCCAAGGATCATCAGGTTCCAACTTGCCACAGGCAAAGTTGCCAACTGCTAAATCAAGTTCTAGATCAGATTTCCCAGGGCCCCATCCAACCTGGCCTTAAACATCCTAAAGGATGAGGCGTTTGCAACTTCTCTGGGCAGCCTGTTCCAGCATCTCATCGTTCACCATTCTCAGTAAAAAATTTCCCCTGATATCAAGTCTCAATCTTCTCTCCTTTAGTTTACAACCATTCCCTCTTGTCTTATCACTATCTACCCCTGTAAAAAGTTGATTTTGCTCATGTTTATAAACTCCCCTTAAAGGGGAAAGGCCGCAATGAGGTCTTCCTACAGCTTTCTCTTTTCCAGGCTGAACAAGCTCAGTTCCTTCAGCTCATAGGAGAGGTGCTCCAGCCCTTGGATAATCTCTGTGGCCTTCCTCTGGACCCTCACCAGAAGCTCCTCATCTTTCCTGTGTTGTAGGCCCCAAATTTAGACAAAGTACTCCAGCAGTGGCTTTATAAGGGCAGAGTACAGTGGGACAGTCACCACCCTTGCCCTGCTGCCCCCCTCTCTTCTGATGGTACTGAGGATACCATTGTCCTTCCCAGCTGCACGTACACACTGCTGGCTCATGTTAAGTTTTTTATCAGTCATGACCCTTAAGTCTTTCTCAGTAGGACTACTCTCAAGGAGTTCTTCTTCCAGCTTGTATACGTATCTGAGATTACCTCAACCCAAATGCAATACCTTGCACTTTGCTTTGTTGAACCTCATTAAATCAAAAGGGCCCACATTTTGAGTTTATTAAGGTCCCTTTGGATGGCATTACTTCCATCTGCTGTATCAATTGCATCTCTCAACTTGGTGTCATCAGTAAACTTACTGAGGGTGCACTCAACCCACTTCATCTATGTCATCGATAAAGGCATTGAAGGAGTACCGGACCCAAGATGGACTGCTGGGGGATGCTGCTCATTACTGGCCTCCACCTGGTTATAGATTCATTGACCATAACCCTCTGATTGGAACTTCCAACCAATTGCTTATCCATCGAATAGTCCACCCTTCATTCCATCTCTCTCCAATTTGGAGATAAGGCTGTGGTGGGGGATCATGTCAAAGGCCTTGCAGAAGTCCAGGTAGATGACATCAGTTGCGTTCCCTTTGTCCACCAATGCTGCCACTCCATCTTAGAAGGCCACCAGATTGGTGAGATATAACCTTCCCTTGGTGAAGCCTTGCTGGTTGTCTTGGATCACCTGCTCATCCCTCATGTGCCTTAATGTGTCTTCCAGAAAAAAGTGTTCCATGATCTACCCAGGCATAGAAGTGAGGTGCTATATGAGGCCTGTAGTTCTCCAGGTCTTCCTTTCTCCCTTTCTTAAAAATGGAAGTGATGTTTTCCTTTTTCCAGTCCCCAGGGAGTTCAGTGACTTTTCAAATATCGTGGAGAGCAGCTCAGCAACCACATCAGCCAGCTCTCTTAGGACCCTGAGATGCATGCCATCTGGTCCCATTCAGTCTTGTGAATCAGTCTCGGACTTTCTCTGCCCTTACAAGTGGGGGAGAATTTGCTCCCCCAGTTCCTACCTGGAGGTTCAGGTTCAGGTATGTGAGAATCCTGGCTGCCTGTGAAGACTGAGTTAAATAACTCATTGAGTACCTCAGCCTTCCCCATTTCTGTTGTAGTCAGTTCTCCTTTCTCATTTAGCAGAGGAGGTGCACTCTCTTTGTCCTGACCATTGTCCCTGTGAATCCCGTCTTGTTGATCTGAATGTCCCTCGCCAAGTTCAGTTCCAGCTGTGCCTTGACTTTCCTAATCCCATCTCTGCAAGTCCAGAATAGGGCAATATTCTAGAAGGGAATACAGCATCCCTGTATTCTTCCCAGGTGACACATCGTTGCTTCCATTACCTGTACTTGTCCTTCTTTTCTTTCAGTTTGACCAGTAGGTTCTTGCCAAGCCACATTGGTTTCCTGTGTTCTCTGCCTGCTTATTCTGAGGGATGGAGAGCTCTTGCACTCTTGGAAAGGCATCTTTCAAGAGTAGCCAGCTTTGTTCCACTCCTTTGTCTCTAAGGACTTCTTCCCAGGAGACCTCGTTCAACAATTCCTTAAACAGCCTGAAATTTGCTCTCTGAAGTTTAAGGTCCTAACTTCATTCTTTGCCAGGCCTGTGTTCCTTGAGATCATGAACTCAATCAGGGCATGGTTTAAAAAAGTCCAAACATGATCATAAATAGAGCTTGTTCACCTTAAGGTGAGACTGTTGCTTTTTTGATCTATATCTACACATAACGTAAGATAAGTACAGGCAATAACCAAACATGGAGGATCTTACAAGTAAATTTTCAATGAACTTGAATCACTGTGTGGATATTAGCACCTGATCTGTATTCTCAAGAGCAGCCAAATGTTGTCAGCTCACCAAGAGCTAACAGTTTGAAAGAACTGGTTAAGGTTTTTGGCTGACATAAGATAAAGTCCATCTGTTTATCAGACTAGCACAAAGTACATTCGAGATCTTTCTATCTGATAACTCTTTGGAGTAAAGTGAAACACAGGGTATGTTAGCAACTATTTAGTGTTTTAGATACACTGTTAATTCATAGGTATTGTGAGTACAAACACATATTGTGAGTACAAAAGTCATTAATACTGCAGAGCATTGTATTTTTTTGGTGTTATACTGTTTTTGTTTCTTCTTTTAGTCACCTCCCTCTAAGAGAAGAAAGCTAGAAAAACCTCGAAAACCAATTACATTTACAGTCTTGGCTTCTACAGTCAAAGAGTTGTCCATCAAAGCTGCAGCGATGGGCTGGGATGCTGTAGAAGGCATTGCTGTTGTTAGAGCCTGGATAGAGAAGATTCTTGCTGATTTAAAGGTAAAATATTAAGTGTTAGATGTTACAATAGCCTACTTTACTGTGTGTGAATGAATAATTTGAAGTTCTTCTGTCTTCAAGGTTCAGCATAAGCGTGTTCCTTGTGGGAAAGATGAAGTTAGCCTTTTTGTGACTGCCATTGAAAACTCCTGGGTTCATCTGAGGAGAAAGAAACGAGAGAGAGTAAGGCAATTACGAGAACTTCCTCGAGCTTCTAATGATGTTCTGCAAGCAATGGAAGAGGGAAAAAACAGTGAGAACAGTGTGAGCAACAGTTTGGACTGTGAAAAACCCAAGACTGAAGACTCTGAGCTTGTGGCATGTGATGAGGACGTCCACTTGACTGCAGACAATGAGCTAAGGGACGAATCGGCCACCAAAGAACTTAGTGAGTGTATGGAGGAGGAGGAGATGGAAGCAAAGCAGGCAGAAGCGTCATTTAACGAAGGTTCCAGTAGTGCAAAGCAGGGACCTCAGCCTTCAGAGCAAACTAGTGATCTATCAGCTGAAAAAGGACAAAGTCCCAAGGAAACCAGTAGGTGTTTCCTCTTTAAGTGTTTAATGAACGTGAAGAAAGAAGGAAGTGATGTATTAGTAGAAATGCACTGGGTTGAAGGACAGAACAGAGACTTAATGAACCAGCTGTGCACATACCTACGGAACCAAGTTCTTCGGTTGGTTGCTAGTTAGCCTTTTATCTCACTTGGGTAAAAATGAGTCTTCAAGTTTTATAAACTATTTTTGATGGTTTAAATGGTTAGCAAAATAAGATTTCCTCTTAAACATTAGTAAAATGAAAATTAAAGCTTTTTTTAATGTTAAATAGCTTTTTTTAAAAAAAAAAAACTGCAAGGAGTACATGAAGTATGACTTCATGTGCAATGAAGGACGAAGAAGTAATATATCTTATTTTTCAGTTATAAAACTATGTGTTGCAGTGAAACGCATCTATGCTGTGACCATTTCAAATAATGACAATGCTCTTTTTTTTTTTTCTTATCTTGTGTAATAGGTTTATACATTGTTAGTATGTAGACTAGTACTTTACTGAACTATAGACTAGTACTTTGCTGAAATATTTTCTTCAGTATTTTCGTACAAATGCAGGAAATTGGTCTGCCTTGGGAGTTGCCTTCTGCAGCGACGAGTCCTCAGCCAGGGCTTTAAGTACACCTCTCGTCCCTTTGATGTGATTAGCCTTTGGCCTACAGCGTAGCAATATGCATACATCCTTTAAGCGTTGACTGATTAAAGAAACATTTTAGAAACACGGTGTATTTCTATACTGTTCTTCGGTTTACGCCTCGTGGAGCCGACCCGACCGCTAGGGGCACCCGGGCTGGAAGCCGCGGGGCGGGGCTGCCGTTTGAATGGCGCGGCGGGAAGATGGCGGCGCCACCTCTAACAGCGTCGCCGCGGCCTCGGCGGCGGGACTTCGCGGCGCGGCTGGCGGCAGGACGGCCCGGGCTGCCCCGTTCGGCCCCGCGGCTCCCTGCCGCGCAGTGCTCAGCCCCCCGCCCGGCCTCGAGGTCTCTCTACGATGCAGCGGGAGCCCCGGCGGTGGCTCGGCAGGTAGCAAGAGGGCAGGCGGAGGGGCGGCGGGATGCGCTGGGCTGGGGGCCCCACGTGGGTGAAGGGACGTCCCGGCGGGAGGAGGGGAGCCGGGTGGGCTCGCCGGTGTGAAGCACGGGCTGGTTTCTCCTTGCGGGAAGCGGCCGCAGCTGGGGTGTGCGTTCGCGCTAAAAGGCCGGCAGTGCACAAAGGTGAAGCCAAGGGTCTTTCTGTCTTTATCATAAATTCGGCGTTTAGCTGAGGAAGGCAAAAGCGTGCTGGTTCCGCACGCGCCGCTGAAGCGGGGCTCGTTTATGGTGCACGCTGTGTATCGGCGGGCCTTGGCCTCTAGGTGCTGCCCTAGTACAGCAATCAGCGCCGTCTGTCCGGCTGCGCTAACGATTCCAGCCGCTGGAACGGTTGCATCTGCAAGCACCACGTTTCTGGTTAACGTGCATCATCCTGCTTTTTATTCTCTCTTAGCGTTTTTCTAGTAGGTAAAAAAAGGTTGATGCAGTATTATACTTACGCACGTAAACTTTAAATTTGAAGCTTCCTAAGGCACGAGTTTTCAAACTCACATTCAGTGTTAATCTAAAGGAATTCTTCCAACACTAGAGCCGTGTCATCCTTTACCTGTGCAGTCTTTCTTAGGCAGCTTATTGGTGTTAGCATTAGGAGAGAAGCTTGAGATCCAATTATACATCCATTTGTTTTTTTTTTTTTTTTTTTTTTTTTTTTAAGTTATTATGAACCCTAATTCTGCCATACTAGTGATATTTTAGGGTAGGGAAATCTGGCCGCTTCTAAATGCCCCATGGAAACTTGTTTTGCTTGTAACACACTGTTGTTCACTCTGGATATGCTGAACATTTTATTTAGTATTTCATAGTGCCCAAATCATAAACAGTGAAACAACTATTTCAGAGCTAAGATGTGATAGCTTTTTATGTAATTGTGCAGGGGAGAATGGTTGTGCACCACTGATAGCTAGATTGGAGTTAGCCTAAAAAAGTAGCTGTGGTTTTTGTTTGTTATCTGCAAATACTAGCATAGATAAGCAGCCTGTATTTTCCTGATCATGTTTGCCCTTATGCTTTTACAACGACGTTAAACCCTTTTTAGGTTATTACTTTTTTTAATATGGTGTTGGAGGAATGGGTGCAATTGTGTCATTACACACAGTTACTTGTTTTTCATGTGGATTTGATGATGTCTTTCACAAAGTGCTGCTATGGGAACTAAGTAGACATGGAAGGCATTATTGTGGATCAGAAATCTGTTTTCTGTCTCAGATGAGGAAAAGGACAAAAGGTTTGGGTTTCCTTAATGATTAGGAAAAAGAGAGAACCTTAGAGGAGGCAGTATCTGTAGCCAGCACAAAAGTATTTAGACAAGAAATGAGAAGCAAAGAACTTAATTAAACTAAAGGAGCTGGCAGTGTGGTGAAGATACTAATCAGTGTTGAAAAACAGATGTAACTGTGCAGAGTAGCTTGAGCTGCCTTTTGATTTTACTTTATTTAGATTTTTTTTCTGTGAAGTGAGAGCCTGGGCAGTTCTGTAATCTGTGAGAACTACTGAGGGCTCTGCAGTGGTAATCTAAAAAGCAAATGGTCTGAGTAAGGTTAAGATGGCAAATACATTGTAATGCTGCTAAGCTAATCAGTGCTGAAATTCTGCTCCAGTCTGTATTTGGTCCTGATTACTCTGTCTCAAAAGCAAATATCAGAGTGAGAGTTTGGTGAAGAAATTATTTGTCTGTGAAAAAACTAATTGGAGGAGAAATTAAAAAGATGATGTCAGGAGATGAGAAGAATGATAAAATATGCATGGGAAATATTGAAAAATATAGGCAAGTTAATGTTCTGTTAAGTTTTCTCCATAATTACAAGGCTGTAAAGAAGTTTGACCTTTAGGTATATTACCAAAGTGACCTTATGTTCAAGGGTAGTACTTTTTCTGTTCTTGTTTCTGTTTTCCTTCCAAAGGGCAATATCAACAGGTAAATGTTCCTGAAGATCAAGCTGACAAGTTGCTCCTTGCAAGCTGGGGTCTTCCTAAGGCAGTTTTGGAGAAATATCACAGTCTAGGAGTAGTACAGATGTTTGAATGGCAAGCAGAGTGCCTAATGCTCGGACAAGTTTTGGAAGGGAAGAACCTGGTTTACTCAGGTATGCAAACATAACAGGACTATATATAACCCCCTAAATTTCCCAGTGCCATTCCAAGAACACACTGCTGCAGAATGTTGCTGAACTGGCAGATTAAAAGGTCAGCATCCTCTTTATTCTGGAGAGACTCCCTTAAGAGAAAATTTACTTTTCTGTCCTGTTGCTGTAAAAGGTACATGGCTTGATGGCCCGCTTTTCAGATGGGGAGAGTAATTTTCTATTTTTTCTATTACAGTTCCTTTAGAAACTAATAATTTGAAGTCCATACTCTCTTTCATTACAGACTAGGCAACCAGGAACTGAATGATACCAGCAATGTCAGATTTAAATACTCCTGAATTTTTTTATTTTTTTATCTAATTCCTTCAATACCTCCATCATTTATTCTTAATGTGGTTGGGGTGCATGGAATAGAAGGGGAGGTGGGATGGGTGGGCTTGAAATCCATAGGAAATTACAATTTGGGATGTCTACCCCAAATTGGTCCCAATCAGCACTAGGATCATGATCAGCTTAGAGGAGGGGTAGAATGATTTTTCTGAGGCTTGTATTTGAGTTTTATTACTTTGCTCCAGAAGATGTTGGGTTAGCATATTGAGGGGCTAGGTCAGTGAGAAGGTGGCTAAGCTCTCCTTTCCAACCAAGAGACTGTAGTGCTTTTTTCATTTCTTCCCTCTCACTTGCTTATCTAAGGTGCTGTTTCTTCCAGAGCAGAAATGAGAGCACAAGCCTTAGTGAAAACAGAGTAAAAGATGCTAGAAGAGAAATTGTCTGCAGACCTCTTGACCCATTTGTGGGGATAACTGCAAAAGCAGTTGTAGAGAAGAAAATTGAAGAGTCTTGCCCCAAGCTTCCTATTGTTTTCTGTTCTAGTTTTAAGATGTTTGATTCTTTGATTTTTTTTTTTCTATTACTTTAAAAATTAATAAAAATATACATTTATTTTCAGCTCCTACCAGTGCTGGAAAGACTCTTGTTGCAGAATTGCTCATTTTGAAGCGAGTCTTAGAGACTCGTAAGAAAGCTCTTTTCATCCTTCCCTTTGTCTCTGTGGCCAAAGAGAAGAAATGTTATCTGCAGGTGAGTAGCATGCAAGGATACTGATTGTATGGCTTATAGCTGTTGAGTTATGTTTATTAAATAAATGATTTTCATGGATTTGGGGGGAAAAAAATATTCCAGAGTTGTTTCAGAGAGAATGTGTAGATAGAATGATACTTTTTTGGGGGAAAGATTTTCATGTAAAATATTGTTTCCATTAGCTATTGTGTCAAAATCATAAAAATTATTAAAGGCAACAGTGAAATCAGAAGGCCTTTTTTTTTTTTTTTCCCATTAGTTTGACACGCTAGATTTTATTAAACTTAGTAATATTTCCTAGTTAAGATACCAGCTGAGTGCAAAAGCTACTTTGTAGAGACTGATAGTAGAAAAGTGCTATTTCTTTAATCTTGTAAAGCTGGAGAATTATCAATATCATATTCTGATTCTTTGGGCCAGTGGTTTGGTTTTAGCTGCACACTTGAAATCATAAGATATCCTACTCATGTGCTTCAAAATATTTGTATGTTTTGTTAATATGTGCGTAGTATGCCAAAGCTTTGTCATTACAATGATGTGCCTTGGAAGAAAAGAAGTCACTGTTCCTTGACTTTCAGCTGAGATATTTGATGTTTCTGTGTTTGATGCCCAACATTTAGCTTTTGCTCCATATTTTTTTTTGAGAGTGAGGCTTCTCTGTACAACTGCAATTATAAACTGTTGTACTGTGTGCTCTCTAACTTCCTTAATAGTAAGTTACGCTTTCATATGAAAAAGTGTTCTCCGTCTCAGTTATGTTTACATTATCCTGCAATATGTATTGTTTGGCTTCTTTGGCTTTGGGAATAAATACAAATGACAGTGGAGTGTGGGATAAGGAGCAGTAACTGTCAGAGCTACGGTTTTAATTTGATTTGTTGGCATTAAAAGTGTTAGGGATCATGGTTGTAGCATGCATAGACTTTCAGTAATTCCAGCAAGTGTCGGTCAGAATCCAGATTTATAACCTTGGCACAACATTCTGTATCCTTTGGAAAACAGGCCCTATTTCAGGAGGTGAATGTGAGAGTTGAAGGCTACATGGGAAGCATCTCTCCTGCTGGACGTTTCTCCTCGCTGGATGTTGCTGTCTGCACCATTGAGAAAGCCAATGGTCTAATCAATAGGCTAATAGAAGAAAACCAAATGGACTCACTGGGTAAAATGCTAAGGCCTGATTGCCAAGGGGATGAGATTTTTTTTACGTAACCTGATTACATCTAAATTCATGAGATAGTTTGTGTTTACTCAGTTCCCTGTCTGACAGGCATGATGTACAGTAAATCTGAAAAAAAATTTTTTCTTCTTTCAGAGCATTTCTGATTTGGATTTAGGAATCCAGTCTGGGCTATTCTAGGTAGCCCAGTGGCAGGAAAGTATATTGGTAAAACTGCAGCTTTATTTTGTCTGCTATGAAAGACAGTCCATGGGTAGGAATCATTTGCAATAAGTGATTCTCATAAC